CTTGTCGCTGCGGCTTCTGCAGGGCGTAGGAGGCCTAGACAGAGGCCCCTCCGGCGAAGGGCCGCTCTCGCGCGCAGCCGAAGGGGCCGAGGCTCGGAAAGAGCGGCCGCTGCCCCCTCTTGGCCGCTCCCACGCCGCCTGCCTGCCGCCGCTCCCAGCCGACCCTGCCTGCGCCCCGCCCCCCCCCCTTCACCCCCGCGGAGCACGGGGGCGGGGCCGCCCCCCCCCCGCCCCTTTGCTCCCAGTCCATGCGCCCTCCCCTCCACCTCCCTCCACGGGAGGGGGGATGAGGAGGGACGCCCCTCCCTCCCTCCCGGGGGAGGTCCCTCCCCCCCATCCCCCCCCCCCCGAAGAGTGGGGGGCGAGGCCGCCCCTCCCCCCCCCCCTCGCTCGCTCCCAGTGCTGCGGAGAGGGGGGCAGGCGGGGGATGGGGGGGGGGGGACCTCCCAACTGCCCCTGCGCCCCCTCCACCTCCCTCCCGAAAGAGGCCCCTCCCCCTCCCGCCCCCCCGGTTCTCCTTCCCTCTGGGGGGATGCTGGCGCTGGTGGCAGCGGGGCGGGCCCGCCCAGGGGGCACCCAGGCCTAAGGAAGTCCAGAGCACGCAGTGCTCCCCTCCCCGGGTGAGCGTTTTCTTATTCGGCGTTGCGACATTGAGCGAAGAGGGGGGAGGGGGGAGGTCAGGCTCCGGACCTCTGCTTGATGCGGCTGTTTGGAACCGTGCGTCCTCTGGGGGAGACTCCCCCTGCTCGAAACAGACGCCCAAAACAGCCAAGATCTACTCCATGCAGCCGGGGGAGGGGGGCTGCGAGGGCCCGCGCCGATCGGCAAAACAAAAAATAAAAAATGATCCCGGCAAAGCAACCTAACAGCGATGTGTATAAGCATATCTGGAAGCATTCCCCTTAAGATTCAGGTGAGAATCCAGTTGTAGAATTCTGCTGTTCTCGCAGTCGCAGTTGCATTCGCAATGACAGTCGCAGTGGCAACGGCCTTAGGATCCAATGGAATCCTAAGGATTCCTAAGGATTCCTGAGGATGCTTAAATATGCCTACGGATTCCTAAGGATGCCTACGGATTCCTAAGGATTCCTAGGGATTCCTAAGGATTCCTATGGATTCCTACGAATGCCTCAACCTGCCTCAGATTCAGCCTCAGCCTCAGCCTGCCTCGGCTTGCCTCAGCCTCAGCCTCAGCCTGCCTCGGCCTCAGCCTCAGCCTGCCTCAGCATCAGCCTCAGCCTGCCTCGGCCCCAGCCTGCGTCAGCCTCAGCCTCAGCCTGCCTCAGCCTCAGCCTGCCTCAGCCTCAGCCTCAGCCTCAGCCTCAGCCTGCCTCGACTTGCCTCAGCCTCAGCCTCAGCCTGCCTCGGCCTCAGCCTGCCTCGGCCTCAGCCTGCCTCAGCCTCCCCTCCCCTCCCCCCCCCTCCCCCCCCCATTCAGCCTCACCTTGTCTCAGCTTCGGCCTGCCTCGGCCTCATCCTCAGCCTCAGCCTCAGTCTCAGCCTCAGCCAGCCTGCCTCTCGCCTCAGCCTCAGAGCCCTGCCTTGCCTCGGCCTCAGCCTCAGCCTGCCTCAGCCTCAGCCTCAGTCAGCCTGCCTCAGCCTCAGCCTGCCTCAGCCTCAGCCTCAGCCTGCCTCGGCCTCATCCTGCGTCAGCCTCAGCCTCAGCCTGCCTCAGCCTCAGCCTGCCTCAGCCTCAGCCTCAGCCTGCCTCGGCGTGCCTCAGCCTCAGCCTCAGCCTGCCCCGGCCTCAGCCTGCCTTGGCCTCAGCCTGCCTCAGCTCGGGCATTCAAAATATGGCACAGGACTGGCGTTCTGGGAACACGAAGATCACGAAGTGGCCCACAGTTGGCTCCGGGCAATCAAGATATGGTGCAGGAATGGTGTGCTGGGAACACGAAGAACACGAAGTGGCCTACGGTTGGCTCCGGGCTTTCAAAATTAGCCTGGGAATGCTGTTCTGGGAACACGAAGAACACGAAGTGGTCTACAGTTGGCTCTGGGTATTCAAAATGTGGCCTGGGAGTAGTGTTCTGTTGGCTCCGGGCAGTCAAAATGTGGCTCCTGGCAATGAGAATGGGGAGTCCCCGGTTTTCCGCGGCACCCGTCCGGCATCTGCCCAGACCCCCCTGGGGAGTCATGATGCTCTCTTTTGACCCCACTAAAAATCTATCAGCAAAAGCTGTTAGGTAATTAGTGACCAACGTCTTGATTGCTTCAGCACGGGGTCCACGGAAGTCCCGACCCTCCCCCCGGGCCGGCGTTACGTCCCGAGTCGTTTTTGTTGCAGTCCTGCGGCCCGGCGAGGGCCCCAAGGGGGGCCATGGACGTCGAAAAAACTTGCCTTGATTTGCTCAAGACGTTGGATGTCTGGGCCCCTCCTGCTCTCACCCCCAGCCCTACCCGAGTGACCAGAAGAAACGGGTCTTGCGCGAGATGGCCTGGCGACCTCACGCGGCGGCGCACGCGGGCCGCCGGCGTGGAACGCCACGTTGGAGACGAAGGGCGCCTGCGCGCGACCTTACGCGGGAAGCTTACGCGCAAATGTCGGCACAATCGGCCCCGCTCTCCTCCGCCACTTACTCGGGAGCCGCGTCTCCAGCAGCGGCTTCGGGGACAGCGTCCGCGCCCTCACCATCGCGCGGCGCCGCGCGGCAGGGGTGGGGAGGGCGGCCGGCGCGCCACGACGCGGGCCTGCGCGCAGGGGTTCGATCGTCGACGGCAGGCCCCTTCTCCAGACGAAGGCTCATCCTGGGCCTGCCCAGGTCCTCCTCCTCCTCCTCCTCCTCCTCCTCCTCCTCCTCCTCCTCCTCCTCCTCCTGCTCCTCCTTCTCCTCCTTCTCCTCCTCCTCCTCCTCCTCCTCCTCGGTCTGCACGAGGGGGCCTGCTTTTCGATTGGTGCAGTCGTCGTCCGGCCGCCAGTTTACTCATGCCACTGCCCGTGCATTCGCAGTTGCGGGGTGACGAGGACGAGGAGGAGGAGGAGGTGGTCGCGGAGAGGAGGAAGGAGATGGCCTCAGTCCCAAGACCGCCTCCAACCTTTAACATGAGGCAAGTTGAGCCAAGTTGGACCCACATGGCGTCCAACATGTCCCCAAGAGGCCATACAATGTGCCCAAAACGGCGTCAGGGGCCTACGAAGCCGCCACGGATCACTCCAAGAATCATAACGCCCCCACACAACGATGACCTCTCCCAGAAGCCTGCGAAATTTGCTACAGTTTCGCAGATCGCAGCCCCCCAGGGGGCAACGAGGTCTCGCGGTGATCTGCGTAGGATGTACCTCCGCTGAGCCTCCCGGGAGCCCACGAAAGTGGCGACAGTTTCGCAGATCCCAGCCCCCCAAGGAACAGCGAAATCTCGTGGTGATCAGCGTGGAACGTACCTCCGCTGGCCCTCCCAGAAGCCCACGAAATTTGCGACAGTTTCGCAGATCGCAGCCCCCAGGGGACGGCGAGGTCTCGTGGTGATCTGCGTGGGGCATACCTCCGCTGGCCCTCCCAGAAGCCAACGAAAGTGGCGACAGTTTCGCAGACCGCGGGCACGAGGCAGGAGGCAGAAGGCAGGCGGGAGGAGTGAGGAAGACGAGGGAGAAGGGGGACGATGCGAGGAGGAGAAGGAGGAAGGAGGTGGAGACCACAGTACTCTATTCAAAACGAGTACCCTACACAAGAGGGTTGAGAAGAAGATCAACACCCAACGCGTCGGCGGAACTCGAGCAAAAAGCATGGCCGTCGCAGGCGTTGGCCCAAATCTGGTCTCCCTGCAAAGTCGGCTACCGGCAGTCTGTGCTGCGCGGCGACGGAAAAGGAAGAAGGGAACGACGAAAAGCAAGCAGACGACGGCGAACGCGAAGGCGGGAGGCCAGGGCCGGCGGGACAACGCAGGCGGGCGGGCAGACGGGAAGGGACAGAAGGAGAACAGCACGCGGGGAGCAGGGGGACGGGAAACGACAAGCAAGGGGAGGGGAGCAACCGCAAGCAGACGGGCCGGAACAGGGGCTGGGAGAAAAGGCCAGAGGCAGCAAACAAAAACAGCACACATTGATATGTCATAGGTGCTTGAAAACTTTTGTAAGGATTCTCGACTTCTCGGGCTGCAGGAGCCCCAAGGCATCTCCAGAAGCCTCCACAGTCGCCCCAAGACGGTGGGTCCAAGAAGCCCCTTAAGAGGCCCAGGGCGGCCCAAGTGGCCCAAGATGTCCCTAAGACAGCCCCAAGATTGCCCAAGTAGGCCCCAAGACGGTCCAAGAGACCCCAAGGACAGCCAAGAGAGCCCAGCAAGGCCCCCAAGACGACCTCCGAAGGCGCCAGACGGCCCAAGAGCGCCCGAAGACGGCCAAAGACGCCGCCTTGTCCTGTACGACACCTACCCCGGAGGAGGACAAGGAGAAGGAGGAGGAGGAGGAGGAGAAAGAAGAGGAGGAGGAGGAGGAGGAGGGGAGGAGGAGGAAGCGGGGAAGGAGGGGGAGGAGGAGGGGCGAGGCCAACAGGCCCCCAATAAGCCCCTAAGCAGCCCCAAGATATCCCCCAGAGGCCCCAAGAGGCCTCCAAACGGCTCCCAGGAGGGTTCAAACGCACATACTCTACAACTTCCTGACGTGCACCCCGCGAAGTAAGAGAAATCCACGAATGGGAAAAAGTCCCCCCCGGAGCGTGAGGCCAGTGCCGCCTGATTTGGCCCCAGAGCGCGCCGACCCGTCCCTAATCCACACTCTTGAATACGGTGTGGGCATTGGAAAAGGAACCCTGAGATAAGGAGTCCAGGGTCTGAAAGCCAGGGGAACTCCAATCATGGATCGGGCATGGATATTTCCGCCACCCTCATCACAGAAGGAACCCTCCAGGGTCCCAAGCCTCCTGGGCACAGTCCTTAACCAACGCCCCCACCGTACTTGTCTGAGCTTCCTTGAAAATCTGCCCCCAAAAACGCCGCGCTCCCCCCCTAAATGACGACCCGAGCACCTAGAAGATGGTGGAGCTCGGCGGCGACCCTGGCGACAGGCGATGCGGACGGCGGCCTGCCGCGGGACCGGGGACCGGCAGCGCTCACCCCCGGGAGCCTGCAGGACAGCCAAAGACGCGAGCAGAAAACACGGGGCCCGACGACGCACCCGACATCATTGCCCAACCCTCCGAGGCCCCCCGAGACCTCCGGCGTCGTGACTTTCCACGACGCGGATCGGGTGCTCGTTGGCGGGGGCAGCTAGCATGGGGTGCAGAAGCGTGCACACGTCGTGCATCTTCTCGGCCCGCGGTGGCAGTCCAGGGGCCGTTGTGAGAACCCCATGTAGGGTCACTTTCCTGCAGCCCTCGCACCCCCACAATCATTGCCTCCTCGTTGCCGTCCGCCCGATTGGACCCCCGGAATTACCGGCCCCTTGCCCGGGGCCCGCGCTTCATCTCGAGTCGTTGCTTTCGGCTACACGCAAGAGTGGCCTTGGGCAAGAGTGACCCTGGGTGCGCGGCTCTACGGGGGACGCTGGGTGGCCAAACCTGGGCGCGCAAGCCGCTGCTACCGGTTCGCATTCAGCGATCGGAGGACCCCACTGGGCCCGTAAAAAAGATCACTCCAGCGAAAGGTCACTCTTACGTCCGGTCGTTGTCTTGACGGTCCCTGAGCCCGTTGAAAGCCCCCTGGGCCGAAGAAGCGAAAACAAAAAAAAAAACTCCGCCGGCATCTTTCACGACGCGGCGAGGTCGACCCCCCCCACCTCGCGCCACCCCCCAAAAGCTGGCGTCGAGGCACCCCTCCTGTGCTAGCCCACCTCAGATGCCAGCGCCCGGGAAGGAGCGAGGGGTCGCGAGAGGTGAGCGGCACGATGCGGCTCGGCACCTGCCGAGCGCGCTCCGTGGCAGACGCCCCAGCCGCGAGGGCGCGAGAGGACGCCACCATGATCAGGACAGTCGACGGCGACGACGACGACGAGGCAACCCAAAGCTGCCCAAACAGACAGCGAAACCGAAACGGGCCAGAACCGAACCTACCAGAAGCAGTCGAGGACGACGCAACGACGAGACAACGACGCAGCGACCGAGCGACGCGGACCGACCGAATGCAACCGACTGCGACGCAGCCGATCCGCGGACACCCTTGACGATTTCGCTGCGGACGAGGTCCCAGCAGCGTTCACAGCCCGCGTCAGCAGCGGGCCTAAAATCGATGCCTTGTGCTCAGCGTGTCGCGGCGGCGGCCCGCGCGGCACGCTGTGCCCTGCCAGCGGAGAGCGCGCCGCCGCGCTCCGCGTTGCGAAGGGGTCGGGAAAGCTCGGGGCGATCGACCCTGGGGACCGGGATGTGGATACGTGGCGTGTCGCGCCGAAGCCAGATCCTCGACATCAGGATGTTCGCATAACGTCGACCCCCTGGGTTCTCGACCCATGCCCCGGGACCGGCTTTTCATCCTGAACCGTTTTGTTGACGGGTCCCAGAAAGGGGTAAAGGCCACCAGAGGCCGATCATATATGTATATACATACATACATACATACATACATACATGCATGCATGCATGCATGCATGCATACATACATACATACATCCATACATACATACATACATACATACATACATACATACATACATACACACACATACATACATACATACATACATACAGACAGACAGACAGACAGACAGACAGACAGACAGACAGACAGACAGACAGACAGACAGACAGACATACACAAGGCTACAATGGCGCTTCACGCCATGCACCTTGGTCCTTCGAGTTTCGCACCCGGGCGGGGTGCGTGCGCGTGCACATGCGCGCGCGGATATGTGCATATATGTCATACGCGCGCACGCGCATCATTCATATATATATATATACACACACACATGAGTGTGTTTAGATGTATACGTGTGTGGGTACGATGATGTACGTACACACACATAGAGAGAGAGAGAGATCCATGCTTGCGCATACAAATGTATCATGTCTACTTGGGCAGATCTACGTGTACACATATGCATGTCTGTATACATGCACGCAGTCGTGGCCACAGAGAAGGGGTCCAGAAACGCAGTGAGGGGCTCGCGAGTGCCGAAAGACTTGGGTAGGAGACGGCACGGAGGACACGGCAGAATGTGGAACAGCGATCTGGGCTTACCAAGGACCGTGTCTTTGGGACTATGTAAGGAGCCGTGTGAGGGCCTTGGGGGGCCTCGCAACTGTGTCGCAGCGGGGCTCGACACTGAAGTCGTTTTGCGCCGCCGTACGCTCTTGGGAGGCCTCGCGTTCAGAGTGTTAAAGTCACGTGGACCTTATTGGAGCCTCCCGGAGCCTTCTGAGGGCCTCTGTGGGACGTGGTGCAGTCCCGTAATGGCTTGGTCCCGTCTTGGGGCGCGTACTGGCTATGTTGGGCTGTCTTGGGGTAATGTTCGGGCTCCTGGCCCGTTTTGGGCCTGTCTTGGGGGCGTTTTCGAACTTCTGCGGGGTCCTTTCGGGATCTTTGGGGACTCTTGGGGACCTCTCGGGCTTCCTGAGGGCCTCTACGGGGCCTCTCGGGGCCTCTTGGGGGCCTCTTGGGAACCTCCTGGGGCCTCCTGGGGGCCTGTCGGGACTGTCTGGGGTCTCCCTGGGGCCAGTGGGGGGCCCTCTTGAGCCGGTCTGGGACCCTCTTGGAGGTCTGTCGGGCCGCCTTCGGACGATCTTGGGGGCCTCGTGGGCAGTCTTGGAGAGTCGGGAAGCCGAAGAGGGGAGAATTCAATGACTTCTGCTTCGTGGGGCCCTCGTGGGACTGCTCTGGGAGGCCCCTTGGGACGTTTTGGAGCGATCTCGAACTTCTGCGGGGTCCCTGCGGGATCTTTTGTGGCTCCTGGGAACCTCTTGGAGCATCCTGGGGGCTTCTTGGGACCCTCTTGGGGCCTCTTCGGGGCCTCTTGGGGGCCTCCTGGGGCCCTGTCGGGACTGTCTTGGGGCCCTCTTGGGCAAGTTTGGGGCCCTCTTGGAGGTCTGTCGGTCTATCACAAGGCGATCTTGGGGGCCTCGTGGGCCGTCTTGGAGCGCAAGAAGCCGAAAAGGGGAGAACTCCCAAATCCTCCACAAACCTACGGAACATCAATGAATTTTGCCTCTTGGGGCCCTCTTGAGAGTGCTCTTGGAGGCCTCTTGGGAAAAATTGGAGCGATCTTTAGGGGCATGACGGCTCCTTTGGGGTAATCGTCGACCGACTTGGGGCTCTTTGCGGTCGTTTCGGGAGCGCGCCACAACGTCGGGGGCCCTCTGGGACCGTCTTCGGGCTCTCGTGAGGTCCTCCCAGGTCGCCTGGGGGGCCTGCCCGAAAGGCCCTGGGTGGGCCGGATTCGGGGGGGGCGCTGTTTTCCGGGGTCACCGGGCCTATGAAAAATATATGAATAGGAATATCTATATATATATATATATATATATATATGTACACATACATATACAAATATATACACCTACATATCTGTATATATATATATACAGATATATGTGTACATGTATATATATATGTAACAACAACAAATCCCGTCGTGACATTTCTATGACTCGAGCAGTCTGGGAAGCGAGGTGGGCCAGAACCGGCGGAGCGACACGCTTGCCAAAAGCTCCCGACCCGCAGGTCAACTCTCGTAGCCGACGTCGTGGGGCTCCTTCCCGAGGAGCTCCTGGCGCACAGGAGCGGCCGCAGAGCGCCAGCTGGCGACGCGGTGCAGGAGCATCGTTTCACCGATCCCTATCCCCATTGGCGTGGCCTGAGCCCCACTGGCCGATTTACTGCCCCCAGTGGAGCTATAGGCTGGTCTCGTCGGGTTTCGAAGGGCCCCAATGGTGGGGATCGGGATGGGAATGGGGACAGGTATCGGATAAACGATTGTGAAGAACTACCTCGTCGCTGCAATGCTCAGGGAATGCGAAACTAAGCGACCCGCTCTGCCGAGCACCCCCTGAGATCCAAGCGTTGCAATGCTTTCGCCTGGCTTCGGGTCCTGGGACTATCACAGATCGATCCGGCTCGCAAAAAGACAGGGTTTAGGGCTCTGGTCGTGATTTTTCGCGATGTTGCACTTTTACACGACGTTGGATCTCAAGGCCTTGCGCACTCCAGCGCTGTCTCGCCTCGGCCCCACTTCGAGCCTCCCCCCAGCGACGATCCCAGCCCCTCTGGGAGGAGTCCAGCGACTCTGCAGCACGATGCGCACCCAGGACTGCCCTCGCCTCTGTCCGACTGCGGAAATCCGAAATCCTTCAGGCAGCGATGGCGACCTCTCCAGAGGCCCGTCCCGCTTCTGCTGACCTCCGCGAGCTTCCGGCAAGGATCGGAGCTCCCCCTCGCTCGCCTCAGCCGGCATTCGTGGGCCCTCGGCCGAGACTGGAAGGCGTGCGAAATCATGCGCAGAGGAAGGCCCCAGCTGACACGAGCAACTCGCAGGCGCTGTCCTCGCAGACTCGCGCGCCTACTAGAGGATACCCCGTCCCACCTGCCCCCGCGGTGGGTTCCAACGGGTTTGAACATCCTGGGGTGCAGCAAGAGCCTCTCTGAAAGCGGCAACGCACAACGGGCAGCAATGCTCTCGGGAGTCCTCGCAAACGGGTGGAAGTAAGGAGAGGAGGACGATGATTCCCGGGGCGGGCGAAAAGGAGGTGTAGCAAAGCAAGCCCAATTACTCAGACCCGCCCTGCCATCAAGACATGACTCCTACAGACAAGCTGTCAAGGAAAATCCGCCGACCCTGTCGGCGTGTGGACCCCCTGTCGGCGTGCGCTCAGTCGACGCATCCGTTGTCCTCTTTCCCTGCGTCTCCGTCGTCCCCTTTACCTGCACCCTCCTCTGCAAGCCTGCCAGCGAGAGAAAGCCGTAGCAACGTCGCACTTAAGTCGAAGGGAAGCCCCTTCCCTTTGATCCCTCCCCCGCCGAAAGGAGGGGGTCCCAGGGGGGTCCCGAGGGGGTCCCGGGGGGGGGTCAGATACGCATCCGCCTCTGGGCGTCCCGGAGCCCAAAAAAGCACCAAGACGCGCCAAGAGGGTCCCAAGCAGGCCCAAGAAGAGGACCACGAACCAACATTTCGAGCTTCCCGCCCCAAGAAGCCCCCGGAAGGCCCCAAGAGCCCCTCAAAGGGCCCGAAGAGGCCCCCAAGAGACCCCCAAGAGGCCCAACAGAGGCCCCAACAGGCCCGAAAACATCCAAGAGGCCTCTCAACCAACCACAACCCCAGCACGGTGGCGGGAAGGGCCGCAGGCCACAAGGCTCCCTGTCTGTCTCTGCTACGACTCCCTCGGCCCACATGGGGAACATCTCCGTCACCTTCTCCTGCTCCCTTCCACCTGAATCCTCCTCCTCCTCCTCCTCCTCCTCCTCCTTCTCCTCCTCCTCGTATTCGTCGTCGTCGTCTTCAGGGTCGGCGGCACTGGCCGTAAGGCCTTAGCAATACACATGGTGGCGAAGGCATTTACGGACTGCTGGGGCCACGGCAACCGACGGAAAGAAAGAAATTCGCTGTCTAATGATTTAGGGCTCTTTAGAACACCTTGCACACTTGCTGATACTCGTTCCGTTCCCGATTAGCGGACAGTGAAGACCACACTCCACGTTTCAATACTTCTGTGGTAATGGATTTTGTCAAGACACAAGAACTCAGCAAAGCTCCCCATATCGAGCGCTTCTTCTTGGGAGCCACCGAACAACATTAACCAACTTCTAACTCGGACCACAAACACACCGCAGCAGCGAATGGCAACCATTTGGACCAGATAACCACATGCACCCACGCAACCGTAAGCAACAGCATATAGCTCACCACATCAAGCCAGGTCAGAAGGGAGTACACATCCCACATTCACAACAGTGGAGAAACCTGGGTGGATACGCATCGCGTGATCACCGATAAGCGCGGCAATGCAGTTCACGTGTTAAATCCGATCGTTCTGAACGCAGGACAGACGTAAGCAGTCCGAGCAAGATGGGCACGCCTCATCCAGGTCTTCCTGCACTGCAGCTCGCAGATCATCCAAACATCTGCCCTACAGCACGATATCTTCCGAAATGGGGAAGCAAGCAGCCTCGCTCCCACAGCTTCACCCGCCCTAAGTATCTCGTTCCCCTTCGCCGAAGCTGAACACATGCATGCGCGCCCCTTGTACAAAAGGCATTGGATGCAGAGGATTGGCACTCTCAGCTGTGTGCGCATCCAGCTTCATCCATTGCATTTTAAGCTGGAACTACGACCCAACAGCGCGTTGGCACTACCTGCAGGTCAGACTTGGCCTGCGCAGATATGTCAATAACTCTTCGAAAGGCTGCAGTTCCTACACAGGTCGGTCGCACAGCCACGAAGCCAGGCCGATTTCACGATCGCAGCCAGCTGATCACAGGACCTCGAGGAATCGCCCTCCTCCCTCTCCCTCTGGTTCGAGGGCCCCTGGGGTCAAGATCTCTTCCGTGCTCCACCCCTTCACTCTGTCGACCAGCAGCCTCGAAGAGCAGCGAAGAGGAGGAAAGAACAAGCGGCGCTTTGACACGGGACTGGTTGTTGCGTCCCCGACGCACCGTCGCCGTGCTCGCCGTGCAGATCCAGGAGCGTCGGTCGTCAATCCAACTCGGTGGCGAAGTTCATTCAAGGTTGACGCACCCCACGTCCGAGGCCACCGCCAAGGTGGACGCACGGGGCCCGCTGCATGTCCGAGGCACCGCCTGGAGCGACAACGATTCAGTACTCTTGCCGCGACCTCACGTGGACTGCTCCGGCGGCGGAGACCCGGGCGCTCGCCACGCAGTCAGCACAACGCGCTTCGGCGACAGCACGCCGGGCACAGGGGCTCTGTGAACGGTTGCTCCAGGCACGCCCTCTAGATCAGCCTGCAGGTAGTCACACCACTTCTGGTAGAATTCCGGGTCGCTGAGGCCCACGCCGTAGTGATGTGCCATTGCGCTCGGAGCGCTCGTTGCGTTGGCCCCGCAGCAAGGCATGAGGACGCAGGCGCGGACCTCCTCCATGTCGCGGAACAGCTCCACGGCACGCATGCTGAGCCTACCGCAGCAGTGGACTCCCAACACCGCGGTGTCCCCACCCGCCTCCGCCGCACGGCGTGCGAGCGCGGCAGGGAACTGGTCCGACATGATGTCCATCTGCAAATACTCGACGCTCGACACGCCCGCCTCGGAGTAGTGTGGAACGGTATCGGGACTGACAATGTCCACAGCAGTGATCTGGACAGATGGTCGCCTGGCTGCCAGAATTGCAGAGGTAAGGGACTTACCGCAACACAGATCCACAACGTGCCGAAAGTGCTCGAGCCGGCTGCCCAGAGCATTCAAGATCGCAAGCGACTCGGAGAGCTCCTTGTGAACTGTCTTGACACGGCTGTGAAAGAAGTGGTACTCAGGCCGCAGCAGCCTCGCCCAGGTGGCCCGATCGTGCTCCAGGAAGCGTGCCACGAGCCTGCGGTGGCAACTTATGGGCGCCTCCCACACCATCTTCTTGGTTCTTGCGAATCGGCCCTAATCGACACTGAATCGACACCAGTCGACGCTAGCCGACGCTAAATCGGCGCCGGCTCATCGACTACCAGACACTAGTCGACGCAAATGCACTCTACGCGCGGAACTGCGAAGGTGTACAAGGCTACCATGATTTGCTGCTGTCCCGAGCGAGCCCACTCTCGCCCTTGCCCCTCCTGTATAAGGGCGACACACACATCCACCATTCCCCGGCCAGGCCCCTCCTGAACCCAGCAGCAGGTGTGTACGCCACGCCCTCCTGGCTTGGCCAGGAGGTCGTACACACAGCTCCTGCGCTCAGGATGGGCCTGGCCAGGGAGCAGTGGATGTGCACAGACTCCGTCGCCCTCCTGTAGCGCTCCACCAGCGACAAGACAGGCGGCCGCCGCGCCACCCGCTTCCCGCACACGCCGCAGCGCCTGGGCCGCCCGCGGGTCAGCAGCGCGACGTCGTCGAGGCTCACCCCGCCGCAGGACCCGAGCCGCAGGCCCCTGCCCGACCCCCAGAGGCCGGCCTCCGCCCCGCTGGCGTCCCCCGGCGGCGCCGCGCTCCCGCCGAGCTCCCCCCCCGACCCAGACCCCCGACGTCGTGGCTTTGCTCACAGCGTCGCCCCCCAGATGCGGGCAAGATTTCTGGTCCATATCCACTGCGTCTTGGAGTGTCGGGCTCCCTTCCTCCGATGCCAGAAGCGCCGTGGATGTGGATAGAGCAGTTGCGCCCCCAGAGGTTCGATCATCCTCCATATCCGCTGCGCCGCAGCCTGTTGGCGCCCCTTCCCAGAAGGGCCAAGACGCAGAGGATATGGGCATAAGCCGTGCCCGCACCCAGTCCCCCACCCTTTCCCCGGGACCGGCTTTGCATCCCGAGCCGCTTCCAGACGGCCCCCGGGGCCCGGTGCGGGCCCCCAGCGGCCGAAGATCGCGACGAGCAAGCTCCATGGCCGTGAGCCTTCGAGACTCGAGGGGTCCGGGATGGTGATGGGCTTGTTTTCCACCGCCACTACCAGAAGTTGGAAGGGGGAAGGAGGTGGAGGACGAGGAGGAGGAGGAGGAGGAGGAGGACGAAGAGAAGGAGGTGCAGGAGGTGGAGGAGGAGGAGGAGGAGGAGGAGGAGGAAGACGAAGAGAAGAAGGTGCAGGAGGTGGAGGAGGAGGTGGAGGAAGAGGAGGAGGAGGACCCCGCCCCCTCCCACTTCTGGTGGTGGCGGAAAACGGGCCCATCGGATGGCCCCGCACGCGGCGCGCCGGGCGGCAGGCCCAGCCGCGCCCCGGCGCGCGCGCGCGCGCCGAGGCCGCCCCCGCAGAGCCGCGGGAGGCACGCGGCCGCGGGGGGCAGCAGCAGCAGCCAGGCGGCGGCGGGCGCCCCGAGCGCCCGGCGCCCGCGCCCCGCGCCGCGAGCAGCGCCGCCCGGGCCGAGGCGCGGGGCCCCGCGCATGCAGGCCCGGTGGTAGGTCGGGGATGTCCTCCTGCAGGGGGATCTGGGACGAAGGAGGAGGAGGAGGAGGAGGAGGAGGAGGAGGACAAGGATTGATTTTACTCATGGTTTACTCATACCGTCGACCCCCAGAGGTCTCGACCCCATTCCCTGGGGCCCCGGCTCTTCCTCCAGAGTCGTTTCTTGACGGTCCCGAGGTGCGGGAAGGGCCCCCAGAGGCCGAAAATGGTGTTAGGTCGGGGATGTCCTCCTGCAGGGGGATCTGGGACGAAACACGAAAAAAGCAGGGTCAACAAAATACTACACACACATCGTCCCCAGACTATGTTTTAACTATTTTTGAATACTCCCTCCTTTAGAAGGATCTGGGACGAATCATGAAAAAAGTATGGTCAAAAATACTACACTCATCGTCCCCAGACTATAACTATTTTGGAATACTCCCTCCTGTAGAGGGACGTGCCCGACTGAAGCCCCGTGCGGCGGCGCACCCACTGCGACGAATCATGAAAAATAGTTTGTTGTTCAGCACACATGATCGACCCACGAACCCGGAAAGGAATATACACATGCAACGCATGGCAGCGTTTTCAAAGAGACCTGATTGGGTGACGGGCAAACGCAATGCTGAATGTATCGACCTTGATGTACCGTGCCGAGGGCTGTGCTGTGCTGTGCCGTGCTGAATTGCGATGTGCCATGCCAGGAGTGTGCTCTATAGCGTTGTGGATCGAGTCCTCCTTTGCATCCGAGTCCTGACCGAACTGATCTGGATCTTAAGCTCGAGCTGCCTGAACACCTCGTAACTGCCCCAGAGCTAATTGACAGGGGGGCATGCCAGGAGGACGCGCCGCGGAACGTCTCAAGGGACGCGCCAAGCGAAGTGCCAGGGGACGTGCCATGGGGACGCACTGCGGGACGTGCCAAGGGGACGCGCTACGGAACGTGCTGGGGACAAGCGTTTCGCTCGAGACATCCTGTCAACATCCTTATGCTAGATACCCGCCTGAGCGACCTGGACACGTGAAAACAAGCGTTTCGCTCAACACATCCTCAACACATTCTCATGCTAGACATCCGCCTGGGCGAACTGGACACGTGAAAACAATTTGTCCCTCGAGACATCCTCAACACATCTTCATGTGAGACGTCCGCCTGGGTGACCTGGGCACGTGAAAGCAAGCGTTTCGCTCGAGACGTTTTCAACACCTCCTCATTCTAGACATCCGCCTTGGCGACCTGTACACGTGAAAGCAAACGTCTCGCTCGAGACATCCTCAACACATCTTCATGTTAGACATCCGCCTGGGCGACCTGGACACGTGAAAACAAGCGTATCTCTCGAGACATTCTCAACACATCCTCATGCTAGGCATCCACCTGGGCAACCTGGACACGTGCAAACAAGCATCTCAATCGAGACTTCCTCAACACATCCTCATGCTAGACATCCGCCTGGGCGACGAGGACGCGTGAAACCAAGCGTCTCGCTCGAGACATCCTCAACAAATCCTGGCGCTAGACCTCTGCCTGGGCAACCTGGAGGCGTGATACCAAGCGTCTCGCTCGAGACATCCTCAAGACCTGTGCACGTGAAAACAAACATTTCACATGCGAGATCCTGAATTCTGGCCCCCAGGAGAGGACAATATATAACATAAAACAAGCGTTTCGCTCGAGACATCCTCAACAAATTATGCAAAACAAGCGTTTCGCTCGAGACATCCTCAAAAATAATTCCGCCGGCCCTAGGCGACCTCGTGATCAATCGCAAATAATTCCGCCGGCCCTACAGCTGTCGAAACCGGGGGTAAACCTCTAAAGGAGAACCCTGGGCCCCCGCCCTTTCCGCGGGAAACATGATCGACCCACGAACCCGGAAAGGAATACAGAATTGTAAGACATGGCAACGTTTCAAAGACACCTGATTGGGCGACGTGCAAATGCAATGCTTAGTGTATCGACCTTGATGTACCGTGCCGAGGGCTGTGCTGTGCTGTGCCGTGCTGAATTGCGATGTGCCATGCCAGGAGTGTGCTCTATAGCGTTGTGGATCGAGTCCTCCTTTGCATCCGAGTCCTGACCGAACTGATCTGGATCTTAAGCTCGAGCTGCCTAAGCACATAACTAGTAGCTGCCCCAGAGTTGATTGACAAGGGAACATGCCAGGAGGACGCGCCGCAGAACGTCCCAAGGGACGCGCCAGGCGACGTGCCAGGGGACGTGCCATGGGGACGCACCGCGGGACGTGCCAAGGGGACGCGCTACGGAATGTGCCAATGGACGTGCCACGGGACGTGCCAAGAGACGCACCAAGCGAGCTGTCAGGGGACGTGCCACGGGGACGCACCGCGGGACGTGCCAAGGGGAACGGAACGTGCCAATGGGTGCCACGGGACGTGCCGGGGACGCGCCGCGCGACGTGCCAGGGGGACTCGCCACAGGACGCGCCACGGAACGTGCCAAAGAACGTGCCAAGTTGCAATGCTGAGTGAGTGTATCGATCTTGATGTACCGTGCCGCGGGCTGTGCTGTGCTGCGCCGTGCTGAACTGCGATGTGCCACGTGACGATTGTGCTCTATAGCGTTGTGGATCGAGTCCTCCTTTGCATCCGAGTCCTGACCGAACTGATCTGGATCTTAAGCTCGAGCTGCCTGAGCACATAGTAGCTGCCCCAGAGCTAATTCACGGGGGGCATGCTAGGAAGACGCACCGCCGAAAGTTCCAAGGGACGCGCCAGGCGACGTGCCAGGGGACGTGCCATGGGGACGCACCGCGGGACGTGCCAAGGGGACGCGCTACGGAACGTGCCAATGCATTATGGACGTGCCACGGGACGTGCCAGGGGACGCGCCGCGCGACGTGCCAGGGGGACTCGCCACAGGACGCGCCACGGAACGTGCCAAAGAACGTGCCAAGTTGCAATGCTGAGTGAGTGTACCGATCTTGATGTAATGTGCCGAGGGCTGTGCTGTGCTGCGCCGTGCTGAACTGCGATGTGCCATGCCGCGATTGTGCTCTACAGCGTTGTGGATCGAGTCCTCCGTTGCATCCCAGTCCTGACCGAACTGATCTGGATCTTAAGCTCGAGCTGCCTGAGCACATAGTCCACGCAATAGCTGCCGCAGAGCTAATTGACAAGGAAACATGCCAGGAAGACGCGCCGCGGAACGTTCCAAGGGACGCGCCAGGCGACGTGCCAGAGGACGTGCCACGGGGACGCACCGCGAGACGTGCCAAGGGGACGCGCTACAGAACGTGCTGGGGACAAGCGTCGTGTTGGTGGCCTGGACACGTAAAAACACGGTGCCAGCTCGGGACAACCATGAGAGATACCCCCTGGGTGGCCTGGACACGTAAAACACGTGGTTCCAGCTCGGGACAATCATGTTAGAGATCTCCCTGGGTGGCCTGAGCATGAAAAAACACGTGGTTCCAGCTCGGGACAGCCATGTTAGATACCCCTCTGCGTGACTTGGATACGCTGAATTCGCGCTCCCGCTCGAGACATCCTCAAAACGTCTTCCCTGGAGAGGCCCCCAAAGCGCATCCCCCTGTTCAGAGCAAGAAACCATCACTTTTCCTCATAATTCGGCGTTGGGCCCGACGCCATGTTAGATACCCCAACTCTGCAAAACCAGCGTTTCGCTCGAGACATCCTCAACAAATTCTGAAAAGCAAGCGTTTCGCTCGAGACATCCCCCAACTCTGCAAAACCAGCGTTTCGCTCGAGACATCCTCAACAAATTATGAAAAAAACAAGCGTTTCGCTCGAGGCATGCTGTCAAAATCCCAAGAAATCTAAATTCCTGCGCGCGGGACGCGGCACGCGCGAGACATCCTCAGAATTCCTGCGCGAGGGGCGCTTTTCCGTGTCGCGGTCGGCTCTGCAAAACCAGCGTTTCGCTCGAGACATCCTCAACAAATTCTGAAACCAAGCGTTTCGCTCGAGACATCCCCAACTCTGCAAAACCAGCGTTTCGCTCGAGACATCCTCAACAATTCTGAAAAACAAGCGTTTCGCTCGAGACATCCTCAAAAATAATTCCGCCGGCCCTACTCCCGCACGTAATTTATCGCAAAATAATTTCGCCGGCCCAAGTCGCAGGGGGGCCGGGGGGTAAACCTCTACCA